CCTTCTTGACCGAGCATTCAATAGAGGTAATTTTTTTTGTCTTAGAGGATGTTCTATCGTGATAGTTAGGATAGACAAATTTTAATTTAACAATTCAATTCAATTTCAACATTCATTGCCACTGGTAGCCTTCATGATTACAAGAAAACACTTGAATCCATTAATTCTCCTAATTTATATTTAGCGCTGCATTGCGTATCAATCACGTGATTTATTTTCCCTGCAACTCATTTTCAACCGTGCTCTACTACACAGAATAATGTGTTTTCCAATGTCGTAAGTGCTCAACTTTCTATTGCAGGCGTAATATCTTCCAAACACCGATGTATTCTTACCTTGCTGTCATGCGTAAACGTCACTTTTTCCAAAATTTCACAGCGATTTGCTGTAAGTTTCGGATGATATTTTAAGTCATTACTGAGAAAAGATGCATTTTTTGTCGAATTTTATAAAAGCCAGCACCAAATGTCTATCATTTTGTTAATTGAAAGCAGAACTACTTCCACACTAACGTACCCATGACAAAAAAGTCGAGTCTCTGGGCAGTTGAAATTCATTCCAACGTATTCTTTCATGATTTACACTTATCGAAGCTCCAATGGTGTTCAACGCAATGTCCTTAAGGTCGGCTCAAAAATAAGAGCTTATATTGTAAGAGACACGCTGTGGTATCATGTTTCTGCTAAAATCGGCTCTATGGTGAAGATGAATCTGAGAACATCGAATGTTTTGCCCATCGATGCTTTGAGGAAAATCTGTGCTATCAGTCAGTACGACGCTCCCTGATTGTTATAGCTCTAATGCGCCACTTTCGATCCTCTCATGGTTCAGGACTTCAAGTTAGAATTTCCACTAAACGACCTCATTTTCCTTTATACCAGTCTAACTTGGCATCCTGCACACTTTCCCGTTTCTAGCACGTAGCGTTTTATTCCCTGGTTCCCATATCTGCAGGATATTTACTATTAGTTCTGTGAGCACAATCTCATGTCCGCCTTAGGGTGAAAGAGCTGTTGGTGTTGTCCTGATGCTATTTATTTTACAATTCGCTATAATTTAGGCTCTCTGCATGAAGAGCACCTTTGCATGAGTTGACTGGCCACACAGGTTTTCCATATGTATATACTTTTAGCACTACCAAGTCCTCCAGTTCGACCTGTTAATCATGATCTTTTATAGACAAAACTAGACAATTTTTTGATATTTGATGCAAACCTGTGAACTTTCAACCACTTCATCCCCATCCCAATTTTCTTGCTTGTTGCCTAATTTATTTTAAGCAAATGCAGTTCTGCTACATTATTGAATTAAAGTATTTGACCTGGAAACTATAGAGTATATCTATTTTTCGTTGCAGAAAACGTCCCTTCGGAAAGGCTTGTTAGAAAAATGGCAATTCTCCCTTCTGGACGAGGAGGATTTACGGCAAGACATAAGCCTGGAAAATGTACAGGTTTTGTGTTCTGAGTCACTGCGATGGCTTTTGCAAGTGGTTCAATACATGATGAAAAGGGGTAAGTACATAACTTGTAAATTTAGCATTTTATTTCGACTTGTGACAACTCATTCCCAGATGCGCATGTTCTTGTTCAAACATTTTTTTGCATCAATCGACCCCATAAACTTGTCAGTTTCAAGCGTTTTTTTCGCTTTTCAGGAGATCCGGATAGTATCACAAATTTGCTCTCAGAAGGTTTGCGTCTTGCAGTGGAATATGCAACCAAGTTGGAATTGGTGATTTCCGTCTCACTTCCTATGGTTGGGGCATTGATATCGCTCTGTTTCGAAGAAGCTTGTAACGGTTCCGTGGTAAAATTGGCATTATTTTCTTGCTCCAACCTTGCTACTTTAATCATTTCAGAAATTCGTGTTTTTCAAAATGAGAACACAATATTATGGCACGAATTCAATCAAATGATTCGTTTTTCTACAGTTCTGAAAACTCATTCTAATATTATTACTTTAGACTTGATCGTAACTTTGATAATTCCTGTGCAGATGCATGAATTCAACATTCAAATGAGATGAGAATGTTTTGATCGACCTCCATACTATCAGATTTAAATGAATATTTGAATCGAATATGTTGAATGTTTAAATACTTTTAAGAGAGGCGTCGACACAATCGTCCAACAGGATCTCCCCGTTGATATGACAATTGTGAACTCGCATAAAGACTTGATGGAGCACTTTTTTGGTGTTTTGCGTGAACATGTCAATCAGTGGATGAGTCACGCCCTAGGCCGTCTCTTCTCCGCTCCGCGTCTCGACCTGCCACTGGCTTTCAGCCTCGCGGTCAGTTTACCCTTTTCCGTGAGTGGCGCCCAACTGCACCAGATCGTTGCGGCCAACCCTCGGGCTGCAAACAAGATTCAGGTCCGTCCATTATTCTCTTTGCTACATCGATATGGAAGGTTTTATGTAAAGATGAAGAGTTGTTCTGGCATCAACTTTAGGTAATCGCCTCAATGATATTCAAGGCAGCCAACTATTTCCCCGCTGAAGTCTCACAACAAATGGCGGAAAAGGCTCAATGCCTTTCTATGAACGCTAAATGGGACTCTGCTTTGCGTACATATGGAGTAAGTGTCTTTTGTACCATACAGTCGTTCATCCCCATGATTATAAAAGATACCTGTATTCCAGAAGCGTATCAATCAATCGCAATAAGTAGACTGGACTGGTTATTTCTCCCGAAGTATCAGAATTGGTGCTTTATCTTGGTGATTTGTTTGTCGTGGTTCATTGGTCTCATCGTATTTTAACAGTTGCGCTTAAGCCGTCGTGATCCTCAACCTGACGTTGTGCTTGGACATTTACTGAATATTTTGCCTTCCCTCTGCCGCCAATTTACTGTCACCACTCCGATTTCGCTTGGCAGTGAAACTGCTTACTCCAAACCCCTGCCTCCCATCAGTGAGATAGTTGAATTCTGCAAAGATTTCCATCAAGATGTCCGAAAGGCTCTCCTCGATCATCTAGAGATTCTTCTCCGGACATTGTTCTCGCAAAAATTCAGTGCATCCGGTGTGGTCGATGACCTTGCGAGTTTTAGGTTGGCCAATACCATGTTTTTGACTCATCCAACATTACTTGAGCGTACTTATAGTTAAGTGGCTTAACATACGATGTTTTGACAAAACCTTTTTTTCAATTGTTAGCTCATTTGTAATGAATTCTCAATTCATAAACTGATCTCGAATTTTTTCGAAAATTTTATCCTCATGTCATATGTTTGGTCTGTTGTGTAACTTTCGGCGACCATGTTAATACTTTCTGATAAAGAGATGTGCCGAAATAGAATTAAAATATTATTGTGCTCGCCTTAAAATCCATCTATGTTAACTTTCATAATCACCTTAAATGTGGAAATCATTTTAGCTTTCAACAACCAATTAAGTGGCTGGTTTCCTTGGGTTGGATGTGCACCATTTTGCTATTGAGAATGCTTGTAAGGATACTCGACTGACTTTTGGTCCTTTTCGCTTAGGGAGTTTTCCAAAGCTAAATTGAGTCGTGCATCGGATGTCCACAAAGCCCTCCTGCAAATCGCGATTTCGGACAGCAATTTTAGAGAGGAGACTCTTGTCACCACTCTCAAGCGCAACTTGGCCTCAACCTCCCCATACGACTACGAGCAGCTGTACTTTCTACTCGATTGCATTGGCTGCTACGAGGATATGGGTCAGGCTCCTAGGGTAGGTTTGCAATTTTTAGTCAGGCACATCTAATTTGATTACCTTAAGTGGGACTTATTGCTGGACAGAAGGATAGTCAACATTAAGTTGACCTCAACTAGCGCTTTTTTTATGTGCAGCTTCCAGTCATTGGCTTTGACGGAATCCGCCATGGCTTGGAGATGGCTGCTTCTTCTTTGCGTATACTCGCACATAGGAACATTGGCATTACCACAGGACTTTTTGCTGTAATCTTATCAAAATAAAGTAGATCTGCTATTATGCAGCATAATTTAGGCAAAAAATACAATTTTTAAAATACGAACAAAATTCTCCTACTCGTAGATGGAAAGTGCTTTCTACTGAACGATTGTTTAAACTATCCCTGTGATCTTGCCTATCAGCCAACCTCAGGTCAACTTTGTCTGTGGCCTTCTTCAAGAGGTACAGTAGTTATTCAATATGGCCATTCTGTAATCCTGCCGGTATTAAGTAACAATCAAAATTTACAAAGTTGGGTAAAGATTACTTCATCATGTTGCTGTTCACCTTTGAAATACTGTGTACACGTGCTCTTTCTCTATCTAACATTAAATGTTTAACATCTTGAAAGTGTGACAAATGTCCTTTACTTCCTGTTGGAGCCGATGCGGGTTTTTTTAACAAAAGCGCATCTTTTTCTCCCTTTGACAATTGGCAGCTGAGGATCGGCTCTTGCAAACCCTTAAAGCAGAGCCAGTCCTGGGCAATTCGTTCATGAATCCGATTTCACATTGTCTTCTAGATGTACGTCCTTCTAGACTTCCTCCAACATTACAGTCTTAAGTCCACTCGAGATGCAATGTCTAGTCGGAGCGTAGCCGCATCAATCAATGAGGATGTAAGTTTTGTCCCTGAAACTTTAACTGGCTTCGATATTTTGAATACAACGCTGCTCCCTACTTCTACCCACAGTGTACCAATTCCCAAGACTTTCTTTTGAAGAAGTATCGCCTTCCGTTCCATCCACTTTGCAATGCGTCAGGATTTGATTACTTTGGTAAGCCAATTGCTCATATCTAGTAATGTTGCTCTAACATCCATTGATTGGTTTGTGGGCCTCCTTTTAGAAAAAGAGCTTGAACACTCGAATGTACATAAGTGGCTCAAGTTGAATGACTTTATGAAGGTAAGTGATTACTCATTCGTACCTTAGGTTACAGCATTGGGGAATCATTTGCGTGACCACTATTGTAACTAGGTGTTAATTCAATAATCCCAACTTGCCTCGCCTGGTGTCAAAGCAGAATTATTATTATCAAACTGCCAATCGTAACAATTGAAAATTATATCATTCCAGTCCAGATAGTCGCGATTTCATTCAGTTTTTGTCCCCCTATACTTCCCATACATCGCTTGTTTTCCACTGATAAGTCAGATTTACATCTGATGAAGCGCATTGTCTTTTCCATGTACCTACTTTCAGGGCATAAATTACATGTTCTTCCATTATTTCGTAGTGGAATCTGTCAGACAATATTCGCATTGCGGTTGTGTCCAATGGTCTCAAGACCCTGGGAAAAACGGGTCTTTTACGATTATCTCCCGGTATCACCTTCTCAACTTTACCCGTTGGTGCCAAATTCTTCAGCCACACTCTTGCTGCCGATCGAGCAGCTGCAAAGGTGTGGGAGGAGGCGCTGGCCTGTAAACGCATCATACGCTCCTACCTGTCACGCGCCTATCATCTCTTGCTAACTGTGAAGGACAAGATGAAACTTCTCATGTTTCTAGGAGGTGATAACATGTTCACTAATATTGCAATTGAGTATTCTACTTATTAGTGTCTTAAGCATTTGCCTGATTGCTAAAATGCACCAAATACAATAGTTGATGTCGCACTAATATGGCCTGATGCAAATGATATCGACTGATAGGTTATTGTCATTTTGAATGTTTGCGCATCACTATTCTGCCATTGTTAATGTATCGAATGCTCGTGAATGCGTATGATTATTGACTCACCGTATGTTTCATGTTTCTCTTTTGATTGGTAGAGACGTTCTCGCATTTTCAAGACGGCCCAATTAAACTTATGTTTTTAAAGATGGCAGTACGTCTAATTAATGGCTGGGGATTTCAAGAGAACATCTCAAATAGTGTGACGCACTCTCACTCATCTTCCACCTTGTTCGCTGACGGAAGCACAGTCTCGTCTACGCGCTCCTCCGTGCAGGCTGGCGAACGTGTCTCCCAGTGCATCAAAAGGGCTCTAGAGGAAGCCGAACTATGTCGCCAGAAATTGGCTATCGAAGCTTGCCTCCATCGCCATTTTATCATTCGCTTTTGGCCTGACATTCTCACCCGAGCCGCATCGTAAGCGCGTCCCACGCATCATGTATCGGGATGCACTCATGAGGCAGCTTATTTGCAGTTGCATCTCATCCATCAGTATAGTTCTACTTCCTTAACATTCAATAGCGCGATTATTGCTAGACGGTTGAGTTAATGCACAGCAAAACGGGCATACGACTGTAGTTTAGAGCAAACTTTCAAGTACTTTTGTTCGCGATTGTGCAAATACGAATATCGTGGTGTTTTATCCGCTTTTACTGTCTTGCGATTCTAATGATGGGAACGAAATTGTTACTCTTAACCATTTTATCCTTATAGATCATTCATTCACGCACACTTCAATATCGGCATTGGTACTTGTTTTTGCACAATTAATGCGAAACTAAAACTGATTGGGTTTGTGGTTGTTCTATTACCTCCTTTCGACGAGCTGAGAATCTTCATCCTTTTTTAAAGGAAACATCCAACTACAGATTTTGTTGGCTTAATTGGGATCTTTTAGATGAACACTATCCTTCATGATTTTCCCATTTAGTTAATTTAATTGAACCCTTGGAACTACTCTTAATACTTTGTTCGCCTTTTATCCAAGTTTCCCAGTTCTTGTGGTTCTTGTTGGGTTTATCCATGGAATACATAGGTAAATTTTTGGGCTTAAACTGACACATTGAATCAAATGCCTCTTTGTCATTTTAGTAACGTAGCCTTGCTTTGCACGACCTGTTTAGTGCTGGTAAATTACCCCGATTAACGCTGCGCATTGTTGCTGCACACTTCTTTTCATCTTCCTCTAATTTTACAGTTCCTCAGTTCTCGTCGATCTCTTGTTGAACAAGTCTTGCCTAGTTTACGGCTCGGACAGTCGCGATCCGGTGGTGGCCTATCACCGACGAGAGGAGGTTCTGGCGATGCTAGCTGGCGCGTTGAGGGAGCTGCTCTCTCTGCAGGGTGTCAACTTCCACTCGTGGGCTCTTCAGGTGCTGTGGCAGCGTCTTCGCCTTCCAAAGTCCATTCGTCCCCCCGAGGGATCAGTGACCGAGTCCTCTGATCACAGTGGCGGTGGGCCGGTTGACCTAAACGCCACAGCCATCGTCTTTGATCCTAACGGCTCGGTTCTTCTGCCTGGGGAAGAAGCTGATCTTTCATTCAATACCACCATTTCCTCGGTACTTGACACTTGCATTCTTCCCTTCATAAATGCGTCACTCATTGCTTATTTAGGAAATTTCTACCAGCTATAAAAAAGGATCGCTAAGTTCACTTTGGTTCAAACTACCTGTCAACTTTGATGCTTACGATATGCGTCATTTTTGAACAATTGACTGCTTTGCTACCCAATCAGTAGGATTTCCCATTGCATAAATATGATTATTCTTATTTCTACTACGAAAACAATTTTTCGCAAACGTAGCTTGTTCGATTCGCATGTTTGGAAGGTGACATTTAATGCATTGGTTTTTACACGCCTTGATTTGTACAAGCGCCGTAACTTAGTCCATGTCGTTGAATCGTCTCTTGCTTGTGCTGTTTTCTGTACGCGATCATGCACTCATCAAGCAGTATTACAAAGCTCTTCATCCAAGGAGTGGAATCTGCGATTTTATACAATTTTTGTTGATGCTCATGTACTCCCTTTAGCCTAACACTTTTGATATCTGGAAGTCAGAGGGTCGTGGCGAGGTCGCTGAGCCATCAGAGCGCGATTTTGTGCTGGGGGAGGTCATCATCACAGCCGCTGCAACTGAGGGCGATGGGGATGACGAGATACTTCGAATTATAGCTGAGTGGTGCCTAGTGCGTCCACTTTCCCCGGAAGTGCTACGGTCTCTCAGCCCGCAGGAGGTAAAGAAACGGTGGCGAGCTGTGCGATTTATCCTCCGTTGCCGCAAGTTGCCATTCTCTGACCCCTCTGTATCGCAGGTAGTCGAGTATCTTCGTACTCTCGCTGAGATCGCCAAACAGAAGTGACCTCTCTACATTATGTTTGCTTCATTACTCTTTGATACAACTTGCTATTTTTAAACATGCGGTTTACCACCCTTTTGTTTTTTGTCCTATAACCGAACTCATCTTTGACGACTCTTGGAAAGTCTATGATTGCTTTTAATGATGCTTGCTCTCATCACTCGGCCCAGTCAAGTCCTGCTTTTAAAAGGTTGTTATTCAATAATATCCGAAATTCCTTTTTTAAACGCACAGCCAAATATGGTCCTTCATATGCGCTGAGGTTACCATCGCTTCTGTCACCACCAACCTTTTCTGGCCTTCTTTTGAATTTGATGCGCCACAAAAGCAGACACACCATTTCACTTAATGTCTTTGCAAATGCTTGTAAAAATACTGCGTCTACCATTTCCTGTAGATGAATCTTTGCGTTTCATCTCAATCTCTCTGAGGGATTTACTATTCCTGTTGTTAACCTCATCTAAGGTGCTTGAGGTGGTTTGGATAAATGAAACATTGCCATCAATCACTCACAGCTAGAGATCGCGCATTGTTCGCCACAGAAGCACCATTTGATCTTGACGATATTTCGGAATAATGGTAACTAGTTTTGCCTTGTTCAACTGCATGGGTGCATTTGTGTCGGATTGTCAGTGAAGTTCAGCTGTAATCTTGGTGGAATT